AACAAGCGGCCGGGGCAACGCGCGATTGGACGGAGCAAGAAACACTTTTATTATTAGAAGGTTTAGAACTTCATAAAGATGATTGGAATAAAGTCTGCGAACACGTTGGTTCTAGAACGCAAGATGAGTGCATATTACATTTCTTACGATTACCCATAGAAGATCCGTATCTTGAAGAAGGTGGTCCAGAAGGTTTAGGACCTCTTGCATATCAACCGGTACCTTTCTCAAAGGCTGGAAATCCGGTTATGAGTACGGTCGCATTTTTGGCTTCAGTCGTAGATCCTAGGGTGGCAGCTAGTGCGGCAAAAGCTGCTATGGAAGAATTTGCTGCTATTAAAGATCAAGTTCCAGCTGCGTTATTAGATCAACATTTGCGAAATGTTCAAGCTAGTGCCAATTCAGAAGGTAATTATGTTATAAATAAAATAACTTATTTCTATTACAAGAACTCTCTTTCTCTTTCTTTCTCTCTCTCTCTCTCTCTCTCTCTCTCTCTCTCTCTCTCTCTCTCTCTCTCTCTCTCTCTCTCTCTCTCTCTCTCTCTCTCTCGATGAAAGTGATCGATAATAGAAAAGACAATTTTTGATCATTAGGAAAATTTGATCCAGCTGCTGGACTTGCACAATCAGGTATCGCTGGTACGGGACCACCTGAACCACCTGACGATACTACAACGCCATCAACAGCTGGTACCCAAGCAACAGCAGTTACTTCTCCACATTCAACAGGTCCAGCTTCTATAGAGACAAAGAAAGAGGATCCAGAAAAATCAAAGGATTCATCGGACGTAGAACAATCCCCATTGGAGATAACGAAGAAAGAGGACGAATCTAAAGAGAGCGAAGACGATACTAAATCTTCTATTGATGCTGAAGCTATAGAGGCAAAAGAAAAGAAGGATAAGGTAAATTACATTATATATATTATATAATATCAATACGTATGGATAAAAATCAACTAACTAATCGAATTATTTACTCGAATAAAATACTAATGAGAGATTTTCCTTATAAATAAATTAGGTTGTCAGAGATGCCCAATTACAATCCGCAGCAGCGGCGGCATTAGCTGCTGCTGCCGTGAAAGCGAAACATTTGGCGGCTGTAGAGGAACGCAAAATAAAATCTTTGGTCGCGTTACTGGTTGAAACTCAAATGAAAAAATTAGAAATTAAATTACGTCATTTTGAAGAATTAGAAACAACGATGGAACGCGAACGCGAAGGACTCGAATATCAAAGACAACAACTTATTACCGAAAGACAACAATTTCATTTAGAACAATTGAGAGCAGCTGAATTCAGAGCACGACAACAGGCACATCAACGTTTAGCCCAAGAACAACAACAACATACTCCACCTGAGCAGACATAACTCCATCGTGAGTTATTTTAAAATATTAGCGACAAGTCATAACAGCATTAACTCTATGCTGTTATGATTGTTTCAAATATCACTCTGTAGGATAGTAAAAAAAAAAAAAAAAAACATAAATTACACTTATATAATTACACATTCTATCACCTTCATTACACCAGACAACAACAGTTTTTAATTCGTTCTAATTATCATATTTTCTTTCATGTTTATTTCTTAATTATTTTACCAAATTTGTATAGATTTTTGTACCTGTATTCATAGTCAAATAGTATATATTCAAAAAGGATTTAAAAAAAAAAAAAAAAAAAAAAAAAAAGAAAAAAGAACTATCTTAATCTTCTTTTTCTCGGTGAATTATAAATTTATTTTGAAAATTTTTAGATCACAACTATGAATAGAAGCTGCTATTACATCAATTTTATTTTGAAAAGTTGTTTGTTTGAATGAAAAAAAGATATTGTTAATTAAATATCTTATTTTCAAAATCAAATTACTCGTTAGCGCTTGTAAATTTTGCATATATAAATACATACAACACAAATAATCCATTAGTGTCTACATTAAAATCAATCATTGTAAACTATAAAGCCATAAAAATAATAGTAAGCATTTTTAATACTTATTATAATACTATGAAGTGTTTCACTTTTTATTATTTTTTTTTTTTAGTTTTATTTTTTTTTTTTTATATTTTTAATTCTTTTTTTTGGTAATTTTACGATCAGTCTATAAAGCATGATTGTGTATTAATTCCAATACTAAATCAGTCATCAATCGAGCACATTCAGCTCCTGGTGGTGGTGGTCGTGGTGGTGCTCGTGTATTGCGTTCTTCTTTACCAGCTTCTGCTCTTTCATATAAATCTGGAGCTTCATCGCTTGCACACGTACTAATTGGCAAAATATCCAAAGCTAAACCAACACCAAATCGTCCACATCTTCGCATTTCTTTATTCAGTCTAAACAGAAATGAATATAGGAATGATTGTGTAACGTCTATGTTCGTTTATTATCACATTTTTTTCACATCATTACTTTTTCATGTTGTATATTGAAATATTGCATTTTTTTTTTTCTTCTTCAACATATTCTTTAATTTTTTTACTCACAATTCCCATATAATAGAAGCATTTTTTGGTGGTTGCTCTGGATTAAGTATATGGAGCGATGACATCAAATGAAAATGATAATGTTGAAGCAATTGTGTCATGTATGTCTGTCTAACTTCTCCACTTGTACAGCAGTACAGTAAATTTGCAAGATCAAGAGCAAGTGAACCAACTCGACTTAGTTGAAAGTCAACTAAGTAAATATCCTGAAAAAATTAAAGAATTAAAACATATAGAGGATACAATTTATTTTCTTTTTTTTTTTTTTTTTTTCTTTCTATCTTTTTTCCTTTTTTTCCACGATAAATTCTAAATTAATAACACACGGAACATAAAAACGATTTTATACATAAAATTGATCTACTTATAATTAAGAAATACCTTTTGTGTATTCCAATGCAAAGTATTTTACTAGTGTAAATAAATTTATTTATAGATAAACATTCATAAAAATAATTAAGAAAATAGTATATTTAAAATAAAAAATAAAAAAAAACAAAAGAAAACATGAATACCGAATCTTATTCATAAAATATATTAAATATTTTCAATGATAATAAATATATGAAATAATGTCGATATCATATGTATTAGAAAGTTCAAAAGAGAATATTTAAGAATATTTGATATTTACTTATCATATATATATAATTATATAATTATATATATATATATATATATATATAAATAAATAAATAAAATATTGCATATTGTTAGCATGAGAAATTATTTGCATCTTGATCAAAGACATATTCTAAAATGTGTTTATTATCATGCATAATAATATCTTTCTTTTTTTCTTCTTTCTTCCTTTTTTTTTTATATATATATGTTCTTTTACATTCTAGATTCCAAAGCCTTATAGGCTGAATGATTAAAGTGAGATCTTTCGTATAAAAATTAATGATAATTATAGGAAATTTTTTAGACTAAAAAAACTTATAAATTTATATAATAAAAATAAATTCAAATAAATATTGTTCTATTTTTTTATTTCTTTTTCTATTTAAATTAATTATTATTCAAAGGAGAATAGATACAATATATATTCTACTCCTATTGCATGATCTTATATGCTTATTTTATTTGTCAATAGAAAACTTACTTCAGTTTCTGAATCTTGTTGATCTCGAAAAAGGATATTATTAATCCAACAATCACCATGGCAGAATACAGTGAGTGGACCCTGTGCCGCAGCAAGTTCGCTCATTGTACGAAAAAAGACATTGTCATTTAAAAAAGCATTTAACTTTTCCATAATTTCTTCTCTCCTGTGTTCCATACATGCAGGAAGACCATCGGATACCATTCTTATGGCATTATTTGCAGCAGTCTTATAATATTGTCGATACCAATCTTCATTCTCAATACGAAACAATACTTCTTGTATGCCTTTACCATCATTTGGATTTGATAATTTTAAGAATTCTTCCGGTCTTTGTGAGCATATGAAATAAATAATTAATTAAATAAAATATAAAAAAGAAAAAAAAAAGAAAAAAAGAAAAAGCAATATTTGTACCCTTTATAAGAAATCAGATAGATTAGATTTACCTTGTTTCTCTTAATGTAAGACTAAGTGCATGAAAACCAGCCAGAGCCTTCAATACAAGCTTTAAATGTTCAAATTTGAGACCTTTCCGTCTATCTGCCATTTTAAAACCTCTTTCCCTCAAATCTTCCATTGCTATAAGATCAGCTCTTGCGGCATACACTTTAGCAATGCCATTGAAAACTTTTTTACCATTTAACTGCATCTGATTTAAAGCAGGCCAAACGTATGTATAAAATGCTACTTCATTACGAAATAGCAATTCACTTTTGAAAGCTTCCCTGCGTTCCTTTGATTGAGGCAAAACTTTATAAATTATTGCACGTTCCCAATTATCCCATTCTCCACTTTTCAATTGTTTCTTGCCTTTTGCACGAACACGATATAACATTGACGTGTAATTATCTCCTCTTCCTGATCCTGGCTCTTCTTCTACACTATTAATCACTACGTCAGATTCATCTTTCATAATCAATTCACGTATAGACTCTAATGTAAGCCGCATAGTCTTCCTCTCTTATATATTTTTTTAAATTCTTAAAAATATCAAATGCAATAAATAGATCCTCTTTCTCTCTCTCTCTCTCTCTTTATTTCTCTCTAAGTTGGTCGAATGAGACCAGATATGACTGTCTTAGTTTTTAAAGCAGATGAAAGTGTTATGACGTTATGCTGTGTGATGCAGGAAATAGCTATTTGAGTGACAAGGGATTACAGCCTCCCACCATCGTACAATCTAATTCATTAATCGTTCGGGATCGAGACTCAAGGGACAAGGACATTACGATGTACATGTCGATCGTGCATGTGATTTACATTCCTTAGGGGGACAAAGCTACTGAATTATATCAATAACATTCGCTAAAATATATGCAGTTTGTTCATGGAATAAATTTTATATAGTTTAATATACGTCCGACTATTTATAAGCACTAATATTATAGATTATTCATTAAAAGAGATTAGACAATATATATTTTTATTATTAATAAATATAAAATCACGGGACACGTATATGCTCATTTAACGAATTCATTCTAATATATCTATAGTTACAAGAGAAAATTTTGAAATAGTTAATAGATTTATGGATCAGTATAATCCAATAAAAAGGTTACAGACTACTGTTCATTATGTATTTATAGAATTAGTACTGATCAGATAGTTCCGATTGAAATACATCATTTCCCACTAAACTGATTAAATTCTTTTTCTCAGCCATAGTAAGTGGAATAACATTATATATTTTTCTAGCCATTAAAGGAGTCTCTTCTAAACCAGATATCATTGCACATTTGATCAAAAGCTGAAAATCAACGAATTATATACAATTTGAATATATATATGTATAAAGTCTAATGATATATAAAAATTATATATATATCTTACAAGAGCAACTGGTGCATAGCCTTGTGAAATACAAATTTCTAATAATTGATTGATTTGATCGGCATTTAATATACCCATTACAGATCCTTCACAAGATGTTATAAAAGATAATATTTCTAATGCTTTATCATACCAATTGGCACGTAACAACAGCAAAATTATATCTTTCAATACTCCAATATTCCATACAACTTGTCTAATACTTGAGCGTTTTAACTGAAAATAATAAATATTATTATATAATGTCGATTCAATATATAAAATATCATAAATAAAGTATAAATAAATTCATTAACCTGTTTATCATGCCAGATATCCAAAGCAAATGTTGCAAATACTTCATGAAGTGGAGATTCACTTTCAATATCACAATGAGAAGCTATATCTAAAGGTATTTGTATTAAATGTTCATTTTGTAACATATTATATATTTTTAGTTGGGACATGAGTTTTGGTAAATTTTCCATAATAATTTCTTTCGATTGAAGTTGTAAAATTGTTAAAATGTTTTCCATAATGCTCATTTCTGGTATATAAACATGCATACTTAATTCATAATAAAACTCAAAGAACTTTTCTATCGGTAGCATTTTCAGTTTTAAGTTAACATAGTGTCGATAGTAGATATTCTCCTAAAAATGAATAAAACAAATATTATATAATATATATATAGATTGAAATTAAAAGTTCTCAAAAACTTACAAAATAAGCATTAGAAAGAAATTTATAATTGTCATCTTTTAAAAGAAGTGCATGCAGTCTATCTCCTATTTTCAAGTTATTTTCTTTTTTAGCTATTTCCATTGCAACAGGAAAGAAGTTAATATCTTTAATATCACGAAATTCAATGGTCTCCATTTCTAATACATCTAACATATTCTCTAAAATTGTGATTAAGGATTCGCCTAAATGCAAAAATAATAAATATAATTAATTAGTAAGAAAAACATTATTTTGTGTAATTTCATATAAATATAACATAAACTGTCTTACTATTTTGATTTTCCAAATAAAGTATATGGCAATACGAGATTAATGATGGTTTTATTTCTAATGATTTAAATATATCCAATAAAGAATATGTAAATTTTGCTGCTATATTATATGATTTCAATGTGTAAATTAGTTCCAAAGAGGAATTTAATGTCCCTAAATTAGGATGTATGCCATTATTACTCATGTCTTTAAATATTTTTAATATCTCATTTTCAGGTTCTATCAAAGTTTCTTTCACATATGGTATTATTCTTATTATTGCATTATATGCGCTAACATTTAATGGTATTTTCTTCTCTTTACATTGAACAAATAGCGACCAAGCTTCTCGTGCCTGTGAAAAATACTAGATATTAATACCTCTAGTTTTTAAATTTACAAAAAATGTAATATACATGTAATATATATATATATATTATGAAAAAATATTATACCTGTAAATATTTAGCCTTGCCACATATTAAAGTATTGTACGCAGCAGCAGCTGTTTCAGCATCTTGCGATATCAAGAAATTAAATAGTTTTTCAACTTCTTCTACCTCTCTAAAATTAACAACAATTAATAATATAAAAAAATACAATAACTCTTTCAGACTTTAATTTATCCAATGAGGAAAATATTAGTGTTTCCCTTAGAATACATACTTCCAATTACATTTTCTCGTTTCATATTCAGTAAACATGTAAAAGCGTTCTTCTTGAAAGGTAAATTGCTTAAGATTTGAACTATTAGAAAAGCATAACAATTCTAAAAGATATTGCTTAGCTTTTATCGACACATTTTCTTCCAATAAGTTATATATTTCTAATGCCTCAACTGTTTTACCTTTTGATATTGTATTTAACAATATTTCTTCTGAAACTTCTTCTTTTTTTGTATATATGACTGGTGGCATAAATTCCTATGAACATTTTATATATATATATATAATGTAATATAAATTTAATTTTATAAACTTACAGAAAAATCTAAATATAATTTTAATAACAATTAAAATCACACTTACCTCTATAACGGGATCAGCAATATTCTGTTTGAATAAGTCAGCATGTTCTTGATGAACCCACATTCCTGTCTTTCTGCCAGATTCAAATGATAATGCATAATGACGTTGAGCATGCTTGGATGTAGGCGTTAAATATGGATCATCAAAATATTTATAATGTGGAGTAAAGTAATCTCTGGAGATAGTTCTTTCTAGAGCCTATAACACATATAATAAATATTTTTTTTTACATTTTATCAAGATTAAAAAAAGGATGGAAAAGTATTATAATTTTTACAAACCCTTAAAATATCTGTCGGTCCACGTTCTATTTTATCTGGTATTTTAATATCAACTGTAGAAGATGCTGTAGAAGATACTGTAGAAGATACTGTAGAAGATACTGTAGAAGATGCTGTAGAAGATGCTGTAGAAGATGCTATAGATGACGAGGATTGCAATCGTCTTATAATTTTACTGGTCACCCTATAGAGTATAATAATATTTTTTCAATACAATAAAATAAAACACTATTTACGATAGTAAAATATTGACATGTTAATATGATAACAACAATTGGTGATAATTAAAGTTTTTTCTTTGAAAAAAAAAAAAATATATATATATATATATTAAATTAAGTATAATGAAAGTTTGAAAGTCCCTCGAAAATAGATCAAATAAAAATAACTACGTAATATATATATATATTTGGATACATTTGTATGATTTTTCAAAAAACATAACCACATACCGGCATGATGTATTTGTTAAAGCGTTCATTACGTTATTTCTATTATCAAAAATTCAAGAACACAAATGAACTTTTTCGAATATAGATAGGTTAGAATTTCAGCACGTTGTAAACTAATTCTTTCACGATATTAAAAGCCTCGATTGGTAATCACATTATCACAAAAGCATTGCCATTCATACACCTTCAGTTATTTGGTTGCCTATATACAGGCTTAATAATGTTAAAATTTCCAAGAAATACAAATATGAAATTTACTTCATTAATCATGGTCATTCGATTATTATAAATCAATTTTACAAATATATAATACATATAATTGTTTGTTCATACATTTAATTCTATCTGTCAAAATACTATGCTTGATCATCGATAATCGTATATACATATATATATATGTATGTATTAAATATTAAATTAAAAATTTTTAACATATAAACGATGTAATTACGTATAAAATATACATAAAAAATAAATCAATATAAAATTTCATTTACATTCATTTACATAATATACATTATCGAGAGATATGAAAATAAAAGATATTACATGTGCTGCACTCTACTTGCAGTTTAAATAAGCGCGCTTTACAATATGGTATCTACGTGTATCAAATCAAGCGCGTTACGGTTCATTAAATAAAAGCAGTTGAGATTAAATCGCGATATTTCTGCGAACGATTAATTTCGATGAATAGAATTTAAAATATTATTTAAGTGAATTATACAAAAATAAAAATATTGTCAATATTTTCGCATTAACGCGAATAGATATAAAAAAATGTATTATATATTTTACTGGTATATATATATACACATATACATATATACATAGACATATACATATATACATTTTAAACTATAACGGATTTTGAATACTTCGTCATTTCTGTTACAGTACGTTGCACGCTGTGGCCATTATTGTGACTGTACTCGAATTATTGTGTTACTTATTAGACAAAAAGAAGAAAAAAAAAAGGTTCTATTATTAATTAAGACATATATTAAAAATATTCTCGTAGATTGAATTAATATCGATACTCATCATCATTTGAAAAACTATCATATAACCATCAATGACGTTATTCGAAAGATTTATTTCTAACGTAATGATAACCATTGGATGGAAATTTGAAGGAAGCTTTTTAGGTAAGATGGCAAAAAAAAAATGATAACGAATTCTCGAAGTTATTGTTATGTGTGAGAAACTACCGTTAAAAGAAAAAAAAAACAAAACAACAACGTCTCGCTTTCAGGTCGTATCATCTTTAATCCCCGAGATCTTTCTGTGCCACCCCTAAATAAAGAGAGAGAGAGAGTGAGAGAGAGAGAGAATAAGAGAGAGAGAGAGAGAGAAAAGGCTTCGCAACAGCTGGTAGGTCGCAAGATACAGAGAGATTCGAATTTTTTCGAATTATTTTTCTTTCTTTTCTATTTTCTTTTTTTTTCCTTCTTCTTCTTCTTCTTCTTCTTTTTCTTTTGCATATGAATGCTATATATTCTATATAGCATGCTGAACCCTTTGCCCTATTGGAAAGAATTGAATAAAGTTTATAAGGAAGGTAAAAACATCACCACCACGTACACCCCAGTTCTGAGATGGCGTATAAGCGGGGAAAAAGAAGTACGCAGCGATCAAGAACGAGAGAGAAAGAGACAGAGAGACAGACAGAGAGAAAGAGAGAGAAAATGCATGGGTTCCTACGCCGTGAGAACGTAAGTGTGTGTTACCCAGTAAAGATCTTTCTGTATGTGTGCATGCGCGCGTGCGTATCTATGTATGTACGTATATATGTGTATGCGAGAGAGCGCGTAAGCGGATGTACATACGTAGAGAGAGAACGAGGCGCGTTACTCACGTAAGAAGCCAGGTGTTTTATTTCAAACCGTGGGACTCTTTAAAGGGGATGCTTGCGCAGCGCGTTACACGCGTATTCCACCATAGTATATGAATGAAAAACAGGATTCGCGTGATTCTATGGTGGGGAGGGAGGGAGGGAGGAGGGGAGACAACCCCACTACTTTTATTGTGTTTCCTCATTCGATCGAACGTAACGTAAACCCCCGTTTCTCTTCTTACAGGAGAAGAGTGTTCCTTTTGATCAGGTTTTTCTTCGTCGTCTCTTTGTACTTCTCTTTTTTTCTCCTCTCTCTCTTTCTTTCTGCATATGAGACGAATTAAAATGGCCGGATCTAGGCGTAGGTACAGCGCATATCAAGGAAAAAAAAAAGAAAAAAGGAAAAGAAAAAAGAAAGAAAGAAAGAAAGAAAGAAAGAAGGTATGAGAGGAGTATGCACGGAAAGGACTCCAAGAAAACGAAAGAGAAAGAGAGAGAGAGAAAAGAGAGAGAGAAGGAAGGAAAGAAAAAGAAAGATAGATAGAGAAAAAGAGAGAGAGAGAGAGTGAGAGAGAGAGAGAGAGAAAGAGAGGGAGACAACGGACGGGCACGATCAAGAGGGATCGGTCAGTGAGTAGTAGACAAAGGAGGATGATGTATGTATAGATATATCAAATATACGCATGTGTGCGTGCATTATGCATATATATATATATACATACATATGAAGTGTATGTGTGTGTAGACACAACATACACATACACACACATATATACATATGTATATGTACATATCACTATATATCAAAAGCATTTCTTTTTCACGCCTAAGGCATGCACGGCCGCGCGCAGGAAACCCGAATCTTAGGAGGTACGAGAAGAGCGATCATGTGAATTCGAGGTTCGCGGCGAGAAGAATCCTTCTCTTTCATCTTTTTTGCCCGTTCCCTTCTTTACCTTCCTTCCTTCCTTCTTTCCTTCCTTCCTTCCTTCCTTCCTCTTCTTCTTCTTCTTCTTCTTCTCCTTTACCTTCTTTACCTTCCTTCTTTCTTTCTTTCTTTTTTTCTCCCTATCCTTCTCTTTTTCACTACTGCAACCGTTTCGTGGAACGGTTACGTATGTGTGTGTGCATATGCGTATGTGTATGTAGAGAGAGAGAGAGAGAAAGAGAGAGAGAGAGAGAGAGGAAACAAAGAGATGTGCACAGCTTTCTTTCGATTCGTGTGTGATCGTTAATAATGCGAGCGAAAGCATCATTGTATGTATGGGTTTTAACCCTTCCGCTTAGATTCTAGCAACCCCCTTCTTTGTAATCCTTTCTTCTATCCTATATTCACTACACTTCCCTACACTCGCTTCACTTGTCATTATATATAACCATGTGTCTCTTTCGTTTTTCTTTTTTTTCTTTTCTTTTTTTTTTCCAGTAGCGACATCAAAACAACATATTTATACGTTGAATAAGTTAACAACGATAGATAAACGTTATCTTCGAAGTGTCGAAGAGGTTATGTTCAAAATTTTCTCGCGTAATAAGTTCTCTTTTCCTATTAAGGTCAAGGTCACGCGAGGATGAACGTGCAGCAAGCATTCTCCCCTTCGGGAATCTCATATACGACACACATACATATATATATATATATATATATATATATACACATGTACATCAGCATACGTAGACACATAGTGCTGTTGTATGAATGTATAGAACTATCTTCTCTATTTTTTTCTGTCTATAATATCGTTTATATTAAATATCTTCTTTATTCCTTGATTGTAATATCTGGATTCGCATTTTTTTGCAGATTGGAGCGATATGAGGAGGAAAGGGAGAGAATAAACTTTTCGGAAGATGACGGAATGGAAAGGTAAATGCCAAACGAATAAACCATTTTTTTGTTTTTCTTTTTTTTTTCTATTGAAAATTTAATTATCCGTTTATTCGATACACGATAAAATCCAATAATGAAGAACATAACCAATAAACATAAGGACGTAACGAAAGATAGTTTGTTCGTTTGTTTGTTTTTAAGAATGATTAACAGAGTTTATATATATTCGATGGGTAAAAAACACATTTATTGGACGACAATCGATGTGTAAAAAAAAAAAAATGTCGTACAACAAGCAAAAATTCGATAATAATTATAATTAAATAATTGGACGATATATATCGAGAAAATTCAGCAGGCCGGGACGAGTGCAATTTGAATTAAAATCCATGTAACAAATAATGCCCACATCCCAGCCTACAGAAAATCTCGTCAGAAATTTCTCTCCGTCAATATTTTTCTTTCCTTCCTGTTTGTCTTTTTTTTTTTTCTTTTTTTTCTTCTTCATTCTTCTGCGCCTGTGCAAGAAGCAAAAAAAGAACGCAGCGTTTATTTTTTTCCTTCAACTTCTTCAATTCTTCGCATGTAACCTATTATTCGTCATTTTCTTCTATCCGCTGGATTGATTCTTCTTAGAGATGAAATTAATTAAGTTATTCGAGATG